TGACATTGCAGCACGTCCAATGCCTGCTCATCGAAATTACAGAAGCAGAAAAGTAACACAGATTTCCGGCATTTCCAGGAATGGACATGAACTAACAACCAATACCCAAATACCTGCCATGCTTAGGGATCTTTTAAAAAAATGGATTCAGCATCACAGCTTGAACCTCTCTTCACTTGTTTCTGAGTAATATTTCTTTGTTGGCTCCTGGAGATGACCTGCAGGCTCTCTAGGGTGCACAGACATCCAAAGACTGACAAAGAAAATGAGGTGGAGAATTATTTTTTTTCTCCTGACTTCTGAGATGAACAGGGGCAGGTGAGCCAGAACTTCTCGCAGGTGTCCGAGCAGACAGAGGGGTCGGGTTCTGCAGCCCTGGTATCGCTTCCTACAATCAGTCATGCTTCCCTTGCCCAGGTGCAGCCTGCCTGCTGCAGCAGAGATCTGGTAAAGACCCAGTGAGTCCTTCATGTCCCTGCTAGAGTTAAGGCTGTGGGGAGCAGTATGCTCAGCCCAGCAAGAGTTCTAAGTCCTGTTGCAGATTTTCTGTTTTCAGACTTGAGGCATGTTCTTATTAGGCTGATTTTTTAATCTACTCGAAGGTGTGATCGCAGTTGCAGATGAACACATGCACCTATTTGTGTACAGGCACTGTGAACACTGAGCCCCCAGACGTCAGGGTAGAGCTGCTGCAGATTCCTCTCGTGTGCCTTTGCAGCGAACCTCCGGTGGCCCTGTCTGCCTACCCCCGTATGTCTGCGTTAGCAGGGATCTGTTCATTGCATCCTGACATTTATATATTCAAGGAAAGACAGTTTTTGTCAAAACCTATCAGTGAATCTCCTTCTGAGGAACTAATACAGCAAATCCTACAAACTCAGTGTTTTCTTCTGTCTTTGACTTTCCATAGTTCAGTGGCTTATAATTACACACAGTGTGCTGCTACAGGGTTTTCTGTTTCACAGAGGATAGCTGCTAATAGCGCTTCAGTGTTTCCCCTTGCATGGCTTGGAATTTAATTAGAAATAAAGCTATAACCTTATATTAGAACAAGCTTGGTTAGCCAGCTAGATCCCCTACCTGCTGCAAGGCACTGACAGCCACCTGAGCACCTCCGGGTACGACGTCTTGCTGTGCCCACAGTTAGGATGAGAGTGCCTCTAGCCCCTGGCAGAGCTTTTGGGGGCTTGAAGTGACCTCAGAAACTGAGCAACATGTTGGTCCTTTGCAGCTGAGTCTTGTGTGCTCTGCTGCAGCCTGAGGCGAGCTCACTGTGTGATGAAAGAGGTGCATTGCCCCAAACAGGTATGATCCACTGCTCACCTGGAGTTACTGTCTCAGGACTTGTGCCACATTATGGGACTACAGGGTGTTCAGGTGGCAGAGCAGAGCAAGTTCTCCTGTATCTGCCTGCCAAAGATAGTAGAGGAGTGGTGTTAAAGGCAGAGATGCGTCACAGGAAATTGGGCTTCTCACTCTTACATCTCTCCTCTCGTGAAGACCTGAGTGAAAAGAGTGTAGTGTGCTGCAAGCTGTGAAGGACATCTGATGTGAATTACTGGCCACAGAGCAAGGAAAGGGGTTTGACAGGTGTCCAGAGTGGGACCCTGGTTGTGGGGTATACTAAATTTTTCTGCTGCCCTGTAGGTAGGTGGGTGTGTGCTTGTTACCAAGTCCAAACCTAAACAAGTCATCAAATGCCCTGGTTATGTGTAGAGAGTGGGAGGCAGAAGAAATTAGATGGGTTTTAGGATGCAGCAGGGCTTTTTAGGATGCACCATTAGAGAGTGGGTTTTTAGGAGCAACATTGGAAACTGAGGATCTGGCGGAGTGAGTGAGCAAGAGTGTTGTGCAAATCTACTTAACAATACAAAATAATAATGCTAAGACATTGTTTCAGTGCTTTGTGATAGAAAAAATCATTAGCTTACAGCACAAACAAATGAAAGATCACGGATGATTAAAATTGTAATTAAAGCACGGCAATGATACTGGCACCACAGACATCTCTGCAGACTATCTGAACAGTGCATTAAATAAAGTCAATCATTTCTTCATAATAATGGTATTTACAGTAACACAATAGGAATGCTAGGCATTTCACTGCAGGCAGCCTGGTGTTTAAAAATATACTTAAAGCATTAATATCCAGAAAGAATAAGTCTGTGCTGAAAAAATGGTTAACACTACAGTTCAGTTTTCAGATGCCAGGCTTTAGTATAATAATCAGTAGCAAAGGAAATTAAAATGAGGGAGGACGTTGAACAAGGGCTTTAAAGAGAGGATTTGCTATAGAGAGTTTAGAGCAGGATGATTTTGATTATGTTACTGTACTAGATAAAAGGAAGCTGGGGGATTCATAATTGTTAACGTTGCTAATCCACAAAAAAGAATTTAAAGATAAGATGATAGAATATTATTAGCAACTTCAGGCAAAGGTTTCTTATTTCTGGTCATTATTAGTCACCTTCTTTGGATCTAATTAAAAAAAAATCCAACAAGACATAGCTCAGTTTCTGCACACATTAGGAAAGGAAAGCTGAGAACTTCTTTTGCTGTCAAGGGCTAAACTCTCTTCTAACTGGATGACTTTTTGTGTATGTGTGAAAAAGGAGGCTTCAAAATTGGGCTACAAATGTGTTAGTAGCCCCCGGAAACTTTAATAGGTACTAGAAAAGAACCAGTGCCATGCCACGTACTGAGATATTGTGAGGAGATAATCAGGTGCTCCATTTCCCTTCCCTCTTTTGAGGATAAACAGGAGACACTGAAAGATACAAAAATCAAGAAGGGTTAAACCAACTAAAGGAATGCTTAAAATTTATCTGTGTAAATCCTTGCCAATAAATACTACTTTATTTAAGGGGTTGGAACAGTACAGGAGAGAGCATAAAGTGAAGTTCTCAGTTGTTGCCCTTGAATGGCACCAGCCCCATGTGTGTTTGCCTCTTCTCTATTTAAGAATTGCCTCTTCTGTTTGGTATTTTTCTAGAAGAACCTGTACCTTTTCTGTTTTGTTTTTTTGCTACTGCTTACTTACAATTTTGGGTTGTTAGTCTGCTCTGTGATGAGAGATCCCTTACTCCATCCAGTTACCTGATAGAAAAAACAAACACAACCCAACAGATTAAATTTTTAGATTTTTCATCTGCTTTTCATTCACAGGTATAGATCCAACTGATAGCGAGGCTGAGCTAGCAGAGCTTCATTGTTTGTTTGGCAAAACCTTGTCTCTGCTGTTCCAGTCTGCTGGGGCTCTTCCTGCTTTCCATGCTGGTCTCTGGGAGAGCCTCAGCACACAACCAAGACCACTGCAGGGCAGGGATGTGGAGTCAGCAGCCTCTTCCAAAAAAGTACCAGGGCCCCCCGAGGCTGATCCACACAACAGATGTGGAGCAATGCTGGGATCAGCCCACCTAGTCGGTTCCAGGAATAAATTCACCACAGTGGGTACTACCCATCTCTCAGCAGCAAGGCACAGAGTGAAGGAGCTGCTTTGCAGTGAGCCCTATCCAACAGTGCCATCAGTCAGCATGTCTGTGATACCCCATACAGAGGGAACAAGTGCTTTTTTTGACACCACAGGAAGGCTAAACTTCTTGATTTTGGGTGTATCAAACGTTGCTTTGGGCAGGTGGAGGGGCCAGGTGTTGATCTGCACTATACCAGTGGAATGTTGATTATGGTTGAGTCACTCCAAGCCAGAATGGCAGGAACAGACCAGGAACTGGTGAGGTTTTGGCCATGTTTTCAGGCATGTCTACTGGAAAATATAAACAAAGCCACAACTAGTAGGCTCTTTGTCTTGCATGACAAGTTATCAGAAAAATACTGGACAAGAAAAAGACAAGGACAAGGGACCTTAAGGAGATTCCTTACTGCCTATGTTTTGCTTGTGCCTTCAGAAGGCAGGCCTTCCTTGGGGAAAAGAAAAAATGCATTATAGAATTCAGCCGGTTTTGATACCCTTGAAATCTTTTACTTGGATTTTTTTAAAGACTAAAGTGATGGAAAAAAACAGGTATGGTGGTGTACACAGAAAATGGGGAAGATGCACTGTTTGGAGAGTGCTGTTCTCTATAGAGTAGCAGTGAAAGAAAATACAGGCAGGAAGAATCCTCAATTAAGATAGTATAAGGAAGCAAATATTTGAGGAACCAGTAAATCAACTAGATAAGAGCAGAATAAATGTAATTCAAAGACCAATTTCTTGTTGTAGTATGTTGCAAACATCAGAGCACAGCACTGCATTTGATGATGGGCTATACAGCACAAAGTTGGAAGAGAGGCAGTAGCTCTCTCTAAAGCTCACTGAAAGATAAATAAATCACAAAGGTTATTGTATCATACTGTCAGTGAGGTTTTTAATAAGTAGGTGCAATTATTTTAGGCATGAAGAAAATATAAAAAATATCTGCCCCCAAGGGCTGTTATTTTATCAACAAATATGCTGGCAGAGAAAGTCAAGCAGACATAAATATAATAGGATGGAAAACTATGTGCTGGGTAAAAGGTGTTTGCAATCCTGTTAGATGTGCCCAGTACAAAGAAGCACATCCCAGTGGAAGACTTTCATGGAAAAGGGGAAAAAAACCCAAGTTTTACATATGGCAATGAAAATGGGATACAAGGCATAAAACCAGGCACCAATAAATTCACACAAAATGTCAGACTTACTTGGCAATAGAAATATCCTTGGGATGATCTCTTAAGTTGATCAGTGCTGGGACAGGAGTCCCACTTGCAGACTGAGGGCCAGTTTAGAAAGCCTTTGCTCTTACTGGCGAGCATTTAATGCTCATCTGGGGTGACTAAAGGCTCCATCACTTCAATTTCAGACCACGACTGATGATTCAAAATGAATTTTTCACAAGTAATGTCTTCCTGAATAAGGACTGGAGTATTAGAAGCATTAGAAACTTTCCCTGTCAGCAATATGAGTACCAATAGAGGGGTAGTGGGTTAGCAAAGGAAAAATAACATTTATTTATCTGTTACAGAAAGTAAACTTAAAGCAACGGCAAAATGTCTAAAGCAAAGATGGTTAAATGTGTCAGATCAAGCTCTTACACTCAGATTCAAATGGTATAGGTAAGTGTGGGGGTAAATTACATGTGTGACTTGAATTTTAAAGTAGCCCTAGAGACTTAGGAACATGCCAGCCAAGTGCAGTCTAATGGAACACAGTAGAGGGCGGTCCATGCATCTGATTTACAGGGTGTACAGCAATTCCCAGTCTCACACCAAGCTTGTTCTCAACCTGTCAATGAAAACCCTTAATTCTCTTGGTTATCACAGTTCTCTGTCTTTGTACTTATTCCAGTTAGGTTTTAATTTGCAATTTTTAAAACCTGAGCATTGCATCTGGAGGGAGGAGATTTGTGGAGGCTTTTTTATTTTTATTTTTTTTTTAAGTTCTTGGGAGAGCAGTGCTAAGCTCTGTAGCTCTGTACTGAGGGTGCCACCACTGCCCACACCTGGACCAAACATTGCTGTTAATGTTGTTCAGGGCTAGTTTGCAGAGCCTGGCAGCAGCAGGCTTTTAAGCATGTGAGTTGAGCATACTCACAGTTTGAGGAAAAAAACCCTCCTCTGTCTATTCCTCAGAGAAGAAAACCAGCATGGTTACTGTAGTAACCATGATCTTATCTGCCAGCAGACACAGACTTCTGGACAGTCAGTACTGCAGTGGGGAAGTGCTGCACATGCATGACTGTAGCAAATAGGGCTTGGATAACATTTTCTAAGTCATCTAGGCTACCCCTTTGTCCCAGGGCAGGACTGGGTTTGCCTTCACCAGGCAGGTTCTTGTCTAACTTGTTTTTTTTTAAATCTCCAGTGATAAGGAAGGGAATGTTTTTCCTTATCACAGCTGTTGCCTGTTTCATTGCCCGTGGTGTGAAATGGATGGCATTTACATACAATTCTTATATTCACTGGTGTAATTGTAGCTCTTGTCTCTGATTGTTTAACAGATTGAACTAACGACCAGCCATTTGTGTAGTGAACTTTGTCCTCTTCCTTTAAAATTCTGGGAATTGGAATATGACCTGGAGGTGGTGAAGAGCAGAGCTGTCCTCTGACTTTCATGGCTGGAGAGCACCCAGGCAGATTCAGAATCAGCCTTTTTCTCTCTAGTCTATTGGACTGTATTCCTGATTTATAGAATTTATTCTCTCCAAAGCCTGAAGGTAGTATCAAATTGTTCTTCTTTGTGACTCAGTTCCTTCCTTTTGGATTTTAAATATGCTGTCATCAGTAAATAGTAAATCCAGGATAACAGCCGGGTTGTGAGAATATCTAGGTCTTCAGGAAGAAAGAAATCTCTACCTAAGTATTGCTGGCCAGGTGTAACATGTTTATCAGATTAAAGTCAGAGGCCATAATGTCAAAAGAAGAAAAGCAAATGGTTGTCTTAACGGAGTTGATACCAGCAGCATGAATGATTCACTCACTTGTTCCAACAGTTAAGCTTTCCTTTACTAGCACACTTTATTTTCAGCTAAGACAGTCCCCAGTCCATCACTCTGGTTGGAGTTGGATGGACAAGGAGGTTGGATGCAGATGCCACCCTACTGCATCCTGCAGCAGGACTGAGACAAGGACATTATTTAGCTGCTTCATAGTGCTTTTTTATCTTATAATTTGCTCCATTCAGGTGGTTATAAATGTTCACAGACCCTGAGCCTTTATTATATTGATAAAAAGTATGGAAAGGTTTTTTTTAAATTTCTTTAGCTCTTAAAGTTCTTTGGTCTTGCCGACTTCCACTCGGGTTTTTCCCAGGTAAGGTCTGTTGTGTTTGTTTTGCCTGGGCTGTGTTTTTGTTTCTTGAAGAACCAGTATAAAGTTTAAAGTGATGTGTGAACTTGTCCACTTGATCATAACACTTGTCTCTCCCCTGTCTTCTGCTCTGCTCCCTCTGCTTGGCTCTAGTTTCTGGACAGAAATGAGATCAGCCTCAAGGCTTGGTTCTTGAGCAACCTCCATGCTGAGCTTAAGGACTTTAATGGTTGCATGGATACTACTAAGAGCCCTAGCCCCCAGAAACTCTGCTTCTTTTCCCATACTGCCTATTTCTCTAGTCCTTACTGAAATTTTATGTCAGAAGCTAAGCTAATTCCTTTTTGAAGATGTGGAAATTTAATGATTGATCGTTGAGGGTAACTGAGTTTCTTCATGGACCCGTTTCCACTGGCAAAACCAAAAGCCATTTAACACCTAGGGCTTGCAGGCAGTGCTTGGAAGGGCCCAAAAATGATGGAAGCACCATCAGAAAGCACTGAAATGAAAGGCACTCATGAAAAGGCAGGTAGGGAAAACAGCTGAAGCTGTCATCCTTCAGAGGAGGGAGATTCCTAGGCCTCTGCAATGGAGAGGAAGGGATGGGTGTGGGAGAGAGGCAGGAGGTAAGGCCCAGGTCAGGCACCACAGTCCTAAAACAGCAGCCTTGACAAGGAAGTCCAAAACCAGGAAAGATGTTTGAGTTCAAAGCCCTTCAGCCTCGCACCAGACACCCCAGCAGGGTAGCCCTGTTATGCCTCTGCGCAGTTGGGAAAGACAGTCCTCTTCCCAAGGGAAAGAGTGGCCAGCCTTGACCAGCTGAAGCCTCTGCTCATGCTGTGGTGGGCCCTTTGCAAGGAGAGATCCCACCTGTGGATCTGAATCCCGTTTCGCTGCGTGATGTGATCACTGGGCTTAATTTAAGTTTTGACTGGTTGAGATTTGAGTGATTTGATCAGTACAATTCTCCAGAGACAAAAAAGAAAAAGCCATTATTTCCACTTCCTGATACATTTGACTTCGATAAAACAATGGATTAGTTATCACTAAGGTAAAGGCATCAGCTGACCACTGGTTTTGGCTGGAGTACTGTGTGTTTAAATGATAGCAGGGTTATGTGAGCACACAGCACCTTTTTGTTAAAGGTGCCTCCTACTTAATGAAGTGTTACATAAAAACTAAATTGTCCCCAGATAGTTTTAGTCCAGAGTATTTGGGTAATACACAGAGCAACAGCTTATTAAACTGGAAGAAGCTAACAGAAGTAATAATGATGAAAGGGATCCTTGATTCAAAATGCTATTGTGTGCCTTAGAACATTGACATTTGTGTCAATACCGTATTAGTGGTAATCAAATTTCTCATTGTCTGCTGCAATGTAACCAACTCCTTGGGTACAAAACTCCATTAATCATGGATGTGTGCTCTCTGTGTCTGTGACGGTGGGAAGATAAATTAGGTGGCATGCTGCAGATCTGCTGAAAGAGACGAGGGCATGCATTGAGTATAGAAGGAGAAGGATAAGCAAAATCTACTCCTAGATCTTTTTCCTTGACATTTTCCCCTTGCCGAGCCAAAGAACGGTTCAGAGATTGTTGTTTTACTCGCTATTCTGCATAATTTTGTATCATAGTTTTCGTTTCAGAGCAAATGAAAGCATATTTCTGTGCTTAAGGCAACAGAAATGGGGGTGGTATTTCTGTAACTGCAAATTGTACAGGCATTGTCACCATCTTAAAATGGGAGTAATATTACTACCTGTCATAGTAGTCTTGGTCCTGATAGAGACTGCAATGCTGTCGGCAGGCTCTGGAGACCTAAGTCTGCCGTAGCTCTGCCACAGACCTCTTGCTTGATGTTGGCAGGTCACTATTTCACTTTACCTCGTTTCCCCTACTGTTGCTGCAGGTAACAGTACCCCTGCATCCAGAAGGGACAGCATGAATAACACCTTGTTAATGTTCATGAGATAGATCCAGAAAAAGAACTTGGGGGTGTGTTTTTTTTATTTCTGAAGCCATACGAGATGAGGATGTGCTGCACATGGCAGGTGCCAGCTGGCTGGCTGGGGGTCTTAAAGGCTCTGCACCCTGTCTCTGGCTTTCTCATCATGGCTCTGTATATCTTTGGAAAGGCCACTTGCTGTGTGTGCAGTCACATAAGAGTAGCCCTGCTATGCCTCTGCCCAGCTGGGAAGGATGGTCCTATTCCCTAGGAAAGGGATGGCCAGGGAACACAAGCCTTGACCGGCTGCAGCCTTGACCCACGCTATGGGGGGCCCTTTGCAAGGAGTGATCCCACCTGTGGATCAGGTGTGCACTGCTGTGCATGCAGTCAGCAGGCTGCTCTCTAAACAGACATGCAGTTTTTCTGCAGCCAGGATTACAGGCATGGGGAAACTTGCCTTCACAGACCTTTCCCCCCATTAATGCCCCTGTCATTCTCTAGAACCTGTTCTTATCCCAACGATTTGTTTCCATACAGTTTGCCTGTGCTTCAGTCCCTCATGTTATGTGGGTTACCTGAAGGGGCTTCATGTTGGAGGAGGTGATTTCAGGTACTAGACCATTTCAATGGGTGGGGGTTACATGAGGGATCCATTTCACCTAGGAGTGATCATACTTTCCATACCTTCAGTTGCAAAGTGATGACAGTATTTCTTACTTTCTAACAAGTGGCTCTTGGTAATAGAAATGCCAAGTGTTACTGCAGTGTACAGTGTGCTGGGGCTCTGCTCTGTAAGGCAGTTTTGAAATCTTTGGTTGTCCATAGCAACCTGCAGGCACTGAAATATCAGCTTGCACATATGTGGGGGTTTGAAACGCTGCTGTGGCTGGAGGCTCCTAGGAAAAGGCTCTCTGCTTTATCCCTGTGTGGACTTTCTCCTCATTGCCCCTACCCACCCCACAGAGGTTGTAGCTCCTGCCAGCACAGCAGGTTTTACCAGGCTGCAGGTCCTCCCTGGGAGCTGTGCATTGTGCGTGGCCAGAGAGAAACCGGTACCAAGGCAACGTGTGCAGGGCAGTCCCAACCAGTGGCAGCCCCCGTGTTGCAAAGACACCAGTGCTCTGATGTCCACCACTACAGAGCATGTGACAGAGCTGGAGCCACCACAGAGGACCACTGAGTTCACTGGTGATTGATGTATTGTAAAAGGCAGACTTGTTTGTAGTTTAAATTAGGAAAGAGAGACCAGAGCCACTTCATCTCACACTCTCAGGCTGTGGTCTGGGCAAAACTCCCTGTGCCCCAACTAGCAGGAGGCAGGGCAGCATCCCAGGCTGTAGCCAAGTCATTGGTCCAAAGTAGTGGCCGTGTGACATGACTCAACATTACAGTGTTCTCCCTTTGCTGGAAATGTCTCAGATTTAACGGATTGGATCCCCCTGCACCTGTTGGTGACCTTGTCAAAGGATACACTCCTCCTGTGCTTTGGAAAACCCTTGTGCCAGCCAGCTAGTGCACACTTTGTCCTAGTGCAGGGTGTTGCGACAGCCCTGAAAGGGTCACTGCTACGTGTGCTTTGCCACTACCTGTCACTGCTTAATATTCCTCTCTGCTGGGAGCCAGAGCCTGGACCAACTGCTCAGCTTCACCAAGCAACTTTTGCAATATTAGAGTATGAAGACGTTTTCAGCAGCTTCTGTGCTTTTGGCAGCACCCAGTCCCTGCTGTAATTAGGCTTGGGTGTCCTCCAAAATGGCAAAAACTTCAAAGGCCCCAAGCCTAACCTTAGGGGAATGTAGGTGGGGCTGTGATCTCCAGGGAACGTCATCCTGGGAGTCTTTCAGCTCCAGTGGCCAGTTTACATACTCGAGACCTGACACAGCAAAAGAGAGACTTACAGTTTGATGGCTTCAGTCTTTTAATCCCTATTTCTACCAGCAATCCTTTTTCTACAAGTAGGCCCTACTTGTGTAAGTGGTTATCTTGGCTTCAGTGGAGTGTCTTTGACCTGGCTGTACTTAATGTAAACTAAGACTACCTTTGGCATCTGTGGAATCCTAAAAAACTAAAACAGCAGGACACAATTGAGGGTATTGGGCTTTACAGACCCAGGAGGTCACACTGAAGTTTACATTTACTGCTGGCAATTTCAGAGGTTCACTAGCACAGCCACAGCAGATGAATTTCCCTTCTAACTGCAGAATAAACACTGCACGTGGGGTAAATATTAAAGGAATTACTATAACAGGAAAGGAAAGGGAGGAGGGCTTCTTTGTCAAACAAAAAGGATGTCTGTTTACCTGCTGTCCCCAAGTAGCAGGCACTGCTCATTGGACTGTTTTGGAAGTCAAGAGATAAAGCCTTAAAAAGGGACAGCCAACGCACAAAGAAGAGAAGCGCTTTTACAGCTTTTCAAGTTTCGGGTAATTGTGGCCATTGCTGATTTTCATACCATGATGGCTTAACAGTTCTGTGCCTGTGATTGTGCAGCCCAATTCACATGGGAAATGCTTCTTGGAGCCTAATAAGCACTAAGGCGCACATCCTGCGTGCTGCCATGGCAACGGCAGGATGCAGGAGGGCTGGGAGGGCTGGCTGCCAGGAGCTCCTGCACCTTGGCAAGAGAACTGCCCTTTGGATGTCCAAAATGGTTTCATTACCAGCCGTGGAAACTATCTGGTGTCTAGTGACTGATTCTTCAAATGAGTGATACCTCCCTAAGCCGAATGAACCCTTCGGTTGCTGGCTTTAGGTGTGTGCTGGTCCATCTAGCACAGCTGTGTAGTGGGGGAGAGACAGTGCAGGGCAGAGGCCGGCAGCGTTCCTGCAAAACTGTCAGTCCTGATGAGGAAGCCCAGGGAAGCTTCACTGATGGTGTTCAATGTCAGACTGTGTTTTGGGGTTTTGTTTTCACCCTGCTTTCCCAGTTATTGCTGATGCCTGACCCTTTCACTGCTGCCAGGGCACATGCAGGGCAGCCTTCATGCCTTGCTGACCTTCTCTGGACAGGGCTGAGCAGCTCTGGGCTTGTGGCAGGAGGGTTGCTAACAACAAATTTTGTCCCATGGCAAACCCTGATGCTTTGACACTTATTTTCCCCCAAGGGAGGGACAAAGACAGTCGTTTTCCTTGCTGAAAAAGATCATGACTCTGCTGAGGCTGTGGCAGTGTCCATGGGAACTGGGAGCTTGGATACCCCATGTTTTCAATTCTCCTCCATGACCAAGACTTCCAGCAGGGCAGCAACTCCTGTGCTGTGTCCTGGCCAAGGAAACCACATGAAGCCCTGTCTCCAGTAAGGGGGACAGTGGAATGGAAAATTAAATGGGGGAACATGGTCCATATAGGAGAATGGGGGCATAAAATAATTTAACTGTAGTTCCTATGAAGTACTCAAGCAAGTTGGGTAGGAACCTGTTAATGCCAAGCTGAACCAAAATCAATTGTTTGTTGGGTTTTTTCTTTTTTATTCCATTTAACAAACTGAAGCAGTCTGATTAAATTCCCAAAGACCTGAAACTGTTTTGCCATATCTTTATCATGCTTTCGTAAAAATTAGTATTTCCCACTCTTAGGTCTTGATATGAAAGCAAGTGTTTTGCACCAGCCACCACTGCTGATTTCAGTTGTTCGACTTAGCAATGGAGTTCCTGACTGTTACAACTGTTGCTACTGGGATGAGGGGAGTGATGGTTGATACAAAGCCTGGGGCTTTTTATAAAGCTCTTAAGCTGGTCTGTGATTTGCACACCATGCCAAATCCACCCCATGAACTCAGAGGGTGGCTATCAAAATGATGATCTGAGTGCGTTACACTTCCCTCTGCCGAGAAGTTGGGTAACCTGTACCTGAGGAGCTCTCCCAGAAAGAGCCTGCATTGTCTTAATGCCAGCATGGAGTGGCTTGTGTGACATATGCTCCACGTGAGTTCTCTGCACCCTCCACAGGTGCATCATTTGGCTGAAAACAGACAAGAATTATTGCTAATTACGTGTTGCTCTGCTACCTGTTAATTAAGGGGAGCCGCAAAGTTGAGATATGTGTTCTCTGGGGTAGTGACCACCTGACTCACTGAATGCAGAGGTGGAGGATAAAAATTTGATCAGAGAGAGAACTTGGAATGGCTAATACAACAGTGGTTGGTTGGGGTTTTTAAACCTTCTTCAGGATTTAATGATATTCATGTTCAGAAATATAGCAACATTGATTTGCAGAAATGTATGTAAATGTCACAGTTGCCACCGCTAGGGAAGTGAACACACTGCAGCAGGAAAAGCTATTTCTTTTTATCTGGCTGGAAAAGCAACCTAGTTGTGTTGGCACAGATGCATTTTGGAAAATGAAACAGCAGGGAAGGAAATGACACCATGGTTCTACAGGTGTGCAGAAAGGCCATCAGGAGGGAGCTCCCTTGCTCAGCAGGCTTCAGAGAAGGCTGAGGGGAACTGCAGCAGTGGCTCTCACTGCTGGAAATTCAGCTGGGTTTCCTGAGGGTGAGCAGTTGTGGCAGGGGCTGTGCTGAGAAGGTTTCTGACAGGCTAAACAAACCTCTTGATCTCAATGTTATTGCCCGATAGTCCTTGTGCATTGCAGAGGGGCAGGGATGGTCAGATGCACATCTCTGGCCATGATTTCACCATAGTATCTAGGCTGACAAATGTCACGGGGAGTTTTCTTAATATAACGTGTCCATTGCCGAGTTTCGTTATAGTTCCAATATAAGGTTGGCTTTCAAAACCAGAAAGGTACCATCCAGCTTCTAAAATTAACATCTGGTTAAAGCCTGGCTTAAATGAATGCTTTAAAAACTCTTGTTATATCATGAGATAAAAATGAGCCTGAATATGGAAAACCTGTACAAAAATATTTGTGATGTGTTTCACTATGTAACTTCCTTGGCATCTGATGATAATCAGGATCTAACTTACTTATGGGGTTAGTGAACCACGTTATTGAGGTGTTCATGTCTCTCAATTCTGCATCACAGCAGCTGAAGCTCAGTCATAAGAGAGCGATGACTAAATGACAACGAGCAGATGATGTGTCTCCTAATGATCCTATGGGAAGTAAGCAAGCTGGACTAAACAGGAGACTTCCTGTGGACACACAGATGTCCCAGTAAGTACTTTCTCAGTCAGATTCTGTGTGTGAGTTCCTCTGGGAGGGAGAGGCAGATTGACTTTACCTGTAAAATGCACTGAGGATATCACAGGAAAATATTTTGCATCAGGGAACGAAGTACTACTCCTACTTCTGTCAGTGGTGAGATCATTTTGATAGTTTGCTGTTTGCTTCCTTTGGAAAGAAATAGCAGACACTGCAACACAGTTGGGGAAATGTAGATTTTATTCCCAAATCTATCAAGTCCCAAACTGAGAAGGTACCCACTTGCCTTAATATCTCCTCATCTGTTAACCACATAAAATATCCATTAATTTACAATCATTTCAAGAGGTTACATTAATATAGCATTGATAACATGCTTGGATTCTATCCAACAGAAGATGCTAAACACGTATGAGATACTATTAATTTCATCAGTAATGAAATATCTGTAATACAAAGTAATTTTCTTGTGTGCTGATTTCAGTATAGTCTAGCTTGCTTGGAGAACTTAATGAAACTGTGGCATCAATAGATAATACAACTGCAAACCGAATAACCTGGAGGAGTTTTTGGTCCTCCAGCTACATGAATTTTTATCTAAATTTGCTTGTTAAACTTAATTCCAATAATTAATTACCATTTTGCAGAAAATATATATTTATTAAGTATTATCTAATATCACTGTGCAGCAAAGACAACCCTTCAAAAAGCTTTAAATACAACCTCAACAAGAAATATACTTGGCAGCACCAGTGTAAAAAAAACTGCACCATGGTAAAAAAAAACACAAAAAAGCTAGTCCATACAAGAACCAAATGTTTAGCCCTACTTTACATAGTAACAGGAAAGGAATGGAGTGACTTGCTACACAACATGAAGGCATTACCTGATACTGTACTATTATTAAAACCTTTTATCGGTCAAGGAGACCCAGCAGAACAGAAACCATAGTTATTTCATGGTAAGACTAGTTTTACAATAGTGCACCCAGTTGGCAAACCTCTTTAAATAAAAGCAATGAAAGCATCTGAAGCCTTGGGATAACCATTTTCCCAGCAGTGAGGAATCATGTTCCTCTTTCCTAAAATGAAGCTGCATTCACTGAGACATTGGATACAGATTGTTTTGTGTGTTTTTTTGTTTTTCTTTTTTTTAGCCTGGGTAAAATTCTCTTTGAGCACGTGGTGCTTCTCCACTGGCACTGCCTTCCCAGAGGAGCTCCTGGAGACCTAAATCAGGCCTCTAAAGGTTAACCTGCGGGAAGGCGGAGGATGCCGGGAGGGAATGATCACCCAGCTGGTCTGAGGCTGGTGACGTGGGCTGGTAACCTGAGAGCCTGTTGCACAGCTTCTGTGCCTGGAGTTGCTGTGGGATCAGAAGGAGCTGCCTGGCTCTGCCCTGGTTTATGCAATGCCCAGTCCCCTCGGCCACACTGCCCTCCTGAGTGGGAGCCTTTTGGCTGTGTCTGAATTCAATGTGCAGCGCCTGCTTCCCACTAACTCACTGACTGCATGGTGCTATTCTGCCCTGCCCTGCCTGGATTATTCGGGAATATCTGGGAACATGTGTTCCTGAACTGCCTGTTATCAGCAAGTCCAAGAGCTGGGAAGCCCTAGGAAGCTTTCACTGTACTCCATTTATTTTTCCATTCCCTCCCACACACCCTACCACTACACCAGGCAACAACACAGGATGCCGTAAATGGTTCCTAAAAACATGTCATCGCTGTCAGTAAGGCTTTTTAAATTCCTGTTTTAAAATATCCCAAACTACAATTTGGTTTCAAACAGTACCTTCACAGAGGTGCTTATCCCACAGGATGACTTGGAGAACCCATCTGATTTCAAATAAATTCATGGCTTTAAGAAGGAACAATTTCCTTTGTTATCCCATCTGGGCAGGCATGTTGTTGTTATATATGGTCAGAAAATGGAAGTGAAAACGCAAAAGCTGTGGTACAAAACCTCTTCTTGTTGCCATTGGCACTTGAAATGTGCTGCATCGTCAGGTTTGATGTTCTGAAAGAACATTTTTTTTATCTGCTGATCCTTTTTTGGCCCAGGTGGATGATTCTTAGGTTCTTTCCTGATGTCTTAAATAGCAGTGATAATGTGCAGCCTATGGAAAGCTGCAGCAACTGTTAGGTACTCATTAGTCACTGACACAAAGCTTTGTACATCAGAATCTATCTACAGGTGCCACAGGGAGAAGGCAAGAAAGAAAAATGTGTCATACTCTGAGGTAAACAGCTTTATTCCCTATTAGTCTGCCAGAGGCTGAATTAGTAATTTATGAAGCACTTTGCCACGATGAGATTTGTTTAGTCCACTTAGGATTTGTTTTTCACTGTTAACACAGAGCTAAACAACTGAGACTGTGTCTACATGCTCTTCTGCAGATAGGAGCTTGCTCCGTGCCTGGTGCCTGCCAGCTACAAGCCACATCACCGGCAGCATGGCAGTGTTGTTTGCACAGCATGGAGGGTAGGGCTAATATTCCCACAGTTACTCATCTCTGCACCCCCACTTTTCCACCAGGTGCTGTAGCTGCTTTTGATTTGTTAGCAGAATGGCAGGCTCGCTGTCTGCCAAACAGGAATGTAGTGGTCACACATGGAGCACTGCCTGGGAGGCCAGGGGGAGGGCTGGTAATGGCCCTGAGCAGGGTGGGGCTCATCGCATCTTCATCCAGCTCTGTGTCAGTGTGGACAAAACGTGGTTCTTCTGCCTAGGGAATACATCTGTGGGAAGATAGGTTTTTTCCCATTTTTAACACACCCTATTTCTTATTAAGATTTGAGAAAGGTAAAAGTCCATACTGTTAAGACCACCAACAAACTTTCAGGAAAAAGCAGACACTGCCACAGGAAAAAAAAAAAAAGGAATATAGAAAAGAAACACAAATCCCTATTACAAAAAGTAAATCCAAACCAAATTAAATTTTTAAAGCCTCCTTCCTGGACATAAATCCCCTATTTTTCTTTTGAAGGTCAGCATTAGATGATGCAAGACCAACACTGAACTTCCAGGCCATTAGCCTCTTTGGAGCCAGGCAGCAGACAGGGTGATGTGGTATGTCTGCATACCTCCTCCAGGCACCGAAGAGGAGGTGAGAAGCAAAACCCTTCCTACAGTGGAAGGAGTTATGAGATCCTTCTCATCTCCAAGGGAATGTGCTGCTGCCACAGGGGTGCCAGGGGACAAACTCATGGACTAGCCTGCAGGAATCACTCCTGACAGAGACAGGGCTGGCAAAAGGAGAAGGCATTTGAAAGCAAAGCCTTTTGAAATGTTGCCTCCCCCGACTAAAACCGATAGGAAAGGGCTGGCCTTGCTGGTATTTGAAGGGTTTCTGAGCCACTTCAGACAACTCCCTGGTGCCAAATGCCCTGTGCAGAGTCACATGTGTGCGAAACAAGTGACTCAGCTCACTGGGGAAGGCAGAGGTCTGTGCAGAGCTCGGTTTACCACTGGAACTGCCTTAGTCCTCCGACTGGAAGCGTTTGTCTCTGGCATCAGCCAACCAACCATGGCAACGGGGTTAGTTTAAGGGATCACTTCACATTTTTGTTTGCGTAAAGCTGGTATCTCTTTTCCCTATGTGAGCAGAAGTTACTGAACTGGTTTTCCTGTGAAGAGAGTGGGAGTTATTCTGGCGCAGCTGCAGAGGGAAAGTGTTAATCCCCCCATCTGCCCTTGCTAAACTTTCTAAGTAAAGATTAGTTTGATGAAGGAGCAAGGCTAGGAGGTCTGGTTTTTTGCTACAGCACTCGCTAGAGATCCAAGAAATGGCAATTGTTGAGTGGTAGTGGGCTTTAAGCCATCAAATCTTTGAGACTTGTGCACAGGAAAAGACAAGGAGGCACTAGCTCCTATGCTCTCCATCTGTGTGGGGCAAAGTTAGATCCAAAGTCCTCTGGTCCAAGCCCAGATTCACAGCTGAGTAGGAAAGTTACCCTAGAACTACCCCACATCAGGGATTTCATATAAGTCATCTGGCTGATGTGTGTGGGATTCATCACAAGAGGGAAGTGAAGAACTTCCATGAACACCTTGCAGGACTGTGTTCTCAGATGAAAACATCTGCTAAAGTGTGCAAAGCCCAGGAAGAAAAGGCTACATTAGTGCTGCAGGACATGCTTGTGGCTCCTCTGGAAAGAATAAGAATGCTGCACATTCTGATTGTTTACTTTGCTTACTTGCCTTTTATTTTTTTTCCCCTGTGGTATTTACAGTGCCCTGGTACTCATTCAGCTTTCTTAGCTAACAGGTGGGGAAGCAGACAGACCTGCCTGAAATCCTGGCATCAGACACTTGGCAGTCCTTCCTGCTTCAGGCATCTTTCAGGTACATTGCCCTGAGGCAGGGGGGAAGCAGACAGCTTGGATCTGTGTTCCTGTGCCAGGACAGGACCCCAACAGAGTGGGGGATTCCCTACTGCATCTGTCCCACTGACTTCTGCAGGAAGTTCCTCTCAAACTTGTGTGGCTTTCCCAGGAGTCATCCATATTCCCCTGGGGCTGAAAATGGTGTGCTCAAGAGATGCTGAAGGCACCAAACCACTGTCTTCTAGGGTCTCCAGACTGCCAGACTGCCTGCCAGCTTGCTAAACAGGCACTGAAGTGCCATTAGGGAGCTGAAGTGTCATCAATGTTAAGAAACAGCTGACTGAACCTGTAGCTTAATTTAGGAGCTCGTCAGACATATGGTAATGGCCTGGTAAGGCTTGGTTAAAGGTGGCATTTGCAGGCTTCTGTACATTTTTAATCTCTGTGTACAATACAATATTGCACATTAGCTTTTGCTCTTGTTGGCAGATTTCTTGTGGGAAGATCTATTTCGGGACTTCAGTAGCACTGAATACAGAGCAACTGACAGAAATAGGGAGTTTGGACCAATGTCTCTGCTGGCATAACTCCATTAGAGCCAGAGGGTGAAATCGCAACCCTGTTGAGATGCATGGGACTTCTGCCAGGGTTGCGACTGCTGAGAACTCTTTTAACAACTCAACCCTGATTTTGCTTTGGAATGAAACCTCCCTGTGGATCTTAGCCTAGGAACACTTGCATCTTTCACACAGAAGAAAAATGTTCTGCAGCAAGCAAATGAACTTGGAAATGATTTTAACTTCATCAGTGGAACCCTTGCAGCAGACATTCATTGCGGGCTAAATTTGGCTTGTGTGGTAAGACACTGACTGAGTGGTACATAGACATTCATCTCCCTCAGAGACGGAAAGGCTCCTGCTTTGGCTGCAGTCACAGTTTATTGGACGTGCTCCCTGTTACTCCCATGAACTGCACAAGCAAAGTTCTGGTGCTCTCAGTGTGACCCATTCATGCAGTCAGTGCTTATCAACAATTATTTTAAGACCAGGAACCGTAGATACTGACAACGTATCTCTCTCTTCTCTTTACATTGTATATTGCTGTTCTGGCTTCTGGGCTTCTTTTTATGCCTACCCATTGCTTCAGGGTATTTGTGAGTCTGCTGGAAGGTCTTGGGGCTGAAGACAGACCTGCATCAAAGCCCTTTACTGTGTAATACTGACTATACCCCCAGCAAGGTCAGAAAGCTGGTGCTCCTATCACCCACAGCTGTGCCTTGATAGCCTTATGGATCTGAGGTTAAAAATGAAGCAGGAAAAAAGGTGCTGGAAAACCAAAATAAATTAATAAGAATTCTGGTTTCTTTATAGATTATAAAGAAGCAGCGTGGGGAAAACTGTTTTGCTTTGCAGGTCACCTTCACAGCAAACAGGAATCATTCAATCACTGCTGGATAATACTAAGGGCACTCTCAGAGGTTGGCAATTGGAATGATTAAAAAAATATGAGCAAGATTTTAAGTGTCTCTTTGTGAAACAAACAGAGCAAAATTGTTCATCAGTGGTGGAATAGGTACTGTAAACATTGTCTTAAATGAATCTGGAAGGAATTTGTAAGAGAGAAGATGACCAGCTCTGTCTTCCCAGCACAGTCCCAGCCCCTCACAGAGGGCAGTTTGTGACCTTGCCTTCCTATTACACACATCAAGCTTCCTGGAGCTCTGTGTCTCTTTTTGCATTTGAGAAAACAGGAAATATTTCACAGCATCACAGAATCGATGGAATTGGCTGGTGAGCGAGCACAAGTTGCCAAGGATGGTGTCCAGTTGGGTTTTGAGTATCTCCATGCAGGAAGAGTCCACAACCTCTCTGGGCAACTGGTTCATTTTTGGGCACTCTCACAGTAAAAAAAAAAATTTTTTTTTTTGTGTTTGGGTGGAAATCTGATGTGTTTTCATTTGTGCTTCTTATCCTGTCAGGGAACTCTACTGAAAAGACTCTGCCTCCCTTCTGTTGCCTGTGCTTGGGATGGACCTTCCCAGTGCTTGGAGGAGGTGATCTCTGAAAGCCAGGCATCTTTTCTGGACACCTATGGTCTCCGGGACAATATCAAAAGCAGATTTCTTGGTAGAAGTCTGCTGTTCAAAACCAGAGTTGTGGTCCTGCCTTTTGCGCCACTCTCCTGTCTTAGGGTCCTGAACTCCACCATCTCACGGTCACTGCACCCAGTGCTGACCCTGCTTTCATATCCCCAACCAGTTCCTCCTTGATTCTGAGGTCCAGGCGAGCACCTTTGCTTATTAGCTCCTCGATCAACCATGCCTGGGAGCTGTCAGAGCGCTCTTGAACTCCCCTACGTTGCTTGGGCCCTGCTGTATCATCATTTCTAATTTAAACCTCTTCCTACCAGCTTTAAAATGAACCTTAGTATAAAATAAATCCACCTCCTTCTGTACTCACTGTCAGCCCCTGTGCTCCCTGCTGCAGGCCTGGGGCAGCATTTGCAGGTATACTGACTGCGAGGTGGCTTGGAAGCCCAGATCTGGTATCCTTTGCATGTCTCGAGCTGCTCTGTTACACTGGCACTTGTCTTCCTGGACAGATGTTCACCTGAAAGCATCTTATCAGTGACACATGGCTAGAAGCGTGTCCTTGGTGAAGTGTTTTTTAGTATTTTTTTTGCTTTTGAGCTAACCACCCTCATGACTTCCTCTCTGCCCGAGGCTTGTCATAAGGTGAATATTCTTTTTTTAACTGTTTTTTTTCCTTGCAAAATGAAGGGTTCTCCTCGAGTCTCCGATGAGATTTGCAGTAGGATCCACCTTCTTTTTTTCTCTTCTCCTACTAACTCAGAATGCAAGAGCTGGGACTAGTTGTGGAGGTTTTCCATAGGGTTGCTCTTCATGAGGCAGAGCTGAATATGGGCTATGGCTGTCTTGTCCCAGATATTCTAGTACAAAGAATCAGGTGTTTTGCAAAAGCCTGGTGAGTGATCCTACTGTGATCCTACAGGGTCCTACTGTGCTGAGAACACAGGATACAAAATTATTCTTTCCCAATGTCTCTAAATAATTGGGCCAGACAAAAGGTAGAACTGAAGGCAGAAAAAACACGTATCTATGGAAAAATGCTACCAGTTCTAAAGAATAAAGTACTTTTGTCCAACCTTTGTCACTCCTGGAGCTTGGTTGGAACTGCTTCCCACGTGACTAAATTAATGGCATTAATGTTGATCACTGAATACAGTTGATCACTGAAAATTTTAGTGTTACCAGATTAAGGCTATAGAGCCAGCCAGGAGACAGGCCCTCAAGGGAGTCTGTCATCCCCCTCATCTGCACTGACTCAAGGATTTGGGATAGAAGCGGATTAAACTCTTGGGGGCTTCAAGAAAGCTCTCCTGTGGCTCACGTCTCCTTCCTTTCAGATTCCTGCAATCAGTGTGTTTTATTCTGAGCCCCGACTGGCACCCAGCAAAGCTGCTCTGCTGCCTACAAAGAAACATTGCACAACATTTGTTGGGCCAGAGCTCCAGCGTGGCGGAACGCATGGCCAGGCATTTCACAACTGCTGTCATCTATGGATTTCTGCTTACAGAAATAGAAAGGGAAAGCCCAGCTAGCTAAGTTTGGCTCTGAAAAGGAGAAGCAGAGTGCACACACACAGCTCTGCTACTTTTCCTAAGGGGGGAGAGCTGAATTACAGAACCATCTGGACGTCTCGGGACCCTTCTGCCACATATATCATAAGGTGGCTTGTCCACCACCTCGATGGCTTTCCACGTGGAAAAGCTGCCCTTCCCTCATGTTTTACCCTGCCTATAGCCATGCACAAGAGAGTTACATGTCTCTTCAGGAGGCTGCTGGC